ATTACCAGGAAGACACTCATACACAATTAACCTCCATTGCTAGTATAGTGTCTGAACAGATCAATATCTTTGATCAGATCAGCGCTATACCAGTGTTCACATTAGTATAGCATCCACAAAAACGCAGCGTTAGCGGGATCAGCCCCGGCACCTGCCAGCACCTGCATTTAGCCCCTACACTTACCCCCCCCCCCTTCTCCCATCCTTCTCCCCCAGCAAGTGCAGTGTCAGTAGGTCACTGTCATTTAATACATTGCACCCAAAACCGCAGTGTTGGGAGAATCAGGCCTGATCTCTGTTAGCACTTGCCGGTAAATTTTGATGACTCTCATATGCAGCAGAGTGCCAGTACTAGTGCCACGATACCTTTTGGTGAACTGGCGAGCACCAGCGGTCTAGTACAGTGGTGGGCAACCTTTTTTTTCAACTGAGCCAAATCTCGCCAAAACCACGATTGAAATTTATTTTGAGAGCCACATTTTTAAAACTGAAAATACATCTCCCATATAGTAATTCATCCCCCATAGTAATTCATCCCCCATATAGTAATTCATCCCCCATAGTAATTCATCCCCCATAGTAATTCATCCCCCATAGTAATTCATCTCCCCGTATAGCAATTCATCCCCCATAGCAATTCATCCCCCATATAGTAATTCATCCCCCATATAGTAATTCATCCCCCATATAGTAATTCATTCCCCATAGTAATTCATCCCCCATAGTAATTCATCCCCCATAGTAATTCATCCCCCATATAGTAATTAATCCCCCATATAGTAATTTCATCCCCCATAGTAATTAATCCCCCATAGTAATTCATCCCCCTAGTAATTCATCCCCCATATAGTAATTCATTCCCCATATTAGTAATTCATCCCTCATATAGTAATTCATCCCCATAGTAATTCATCCCCCATAATAATTCATTCCCCATATAGTAATTCATCCCCCATATAGTAATTCATCCCCCATATAGTAAGTCCCCCCTGTGTCAATTCACTTACCTTTGCTCCGCGCGTTCCTCTCGCCGTGTTCCCGCGCCGTTCTGGTCTTCAGGGCGGACTGTGAGAGGAGAGGAGTTCGTCACGCTGCCCCGCCTACATCCTGGCTGCCCCGCCTACATCCTGACAGCTGCAGAGTCCTGACTTTTGGGGCGGCCGCCCGAGAGGAGGGAGGGGAGCGCCGCCGCCCGAGAGGAGGGGAGGGGAGGGAGGGGGAGGGGGCCCGCCCGAGAGGAGGGAGGGGAGCTGGTGCCCGGCACACAGAAGAGCCGCATTTAAGTTTGTAAAGAGCCGCATGTGGCTCGCGAGCCGCGGCTTGCCGACCACTGGTCTAGTACATCCTGGTCTTTTACATACCTCTTAGAGTGTAAGCTCTAAGGATCAGGCCCTCCTAACCCTCTTTCGCACAAAGCAATCAATATACACTTATTGGGATTTTTTTACCAAAAACATGTAGCAGAATACATTTTGGTCTAAATGTATAACTAACTTTGAGTTTACTATATATTTTTTATAGCCTAAAGTAAAAAATATTGTTTTTCTTCAAAATTTTTAGTCTTTTTTTGTTTATAGCGCGAAAAATAAAAAGCACACAGGTGATCAAATACCACCAAAAGAAATCTCTATTTGTGTGAAAAAAAGGACGTAAATTTCGTTTTGGTACAGCATTGCATGACCGCGCAATTATTAGTTGAATTAGTGCAGCGCCGAGTAGCAAAAAGAGGCCTGGTCATTAAGGGGGGTAAATCCTCAGGAGGGCAATTGGTTAAGGCCCATTAGCCCCTCTTAGGTTAAGAGTAAAGTATAGAGAAGGGAGTGTCAAAGTGGGTCTTGATCAGCGCAAAGTATTTTGAAGGTAGTAAGTGATTTTGAGAATAATACTGAGAAAGGTAGGAAGTTAGAATGTGTCTGAGTTGCAGGACTTTCCATAGGGTTAGTTTAAAAAGTGGAGGTTGTCAGTACATTCACCACTGTCCATTGTCCTGAATGGATAAAATGGGAAGCCTGTAAGAATTGTTTTTTTTCGCTAGTAAGTACTGGAACAGGCCATCCATTGTGCTCCAAATCAACTTTGGATTCCCTAGAATTAAATATAGAGGAGAATGGTCTGGGGAGAGATTATATTTTTGGAAGACCTGGAAGCAGGTTTGCATAGAGGTTCCGTCCACTGGGTGTGCTTTCAGCTGTTCTGAGATATGTGGGTAGCACAACACAAGTTCATTCAGAGGGAAATTTGAGTTGAATTTTTAAAAATGATGGTACTGCCATGTCTGCACGTCCATCGGTTTAATTACATGGCAAACTGCATGATATTTGGGTATACTGGGGAATGCTGGACTCCCATGACAGGATGTGGAGGAGGCAGATTTTAATTATAAGTCTATTTTATAATGGTGCTCCCCTACTTGCAAGCCTTTGATATTTGGGTTGGATATCACTTTGCATAGAAAAAATTCTAATGAAACTACAAAGAAAAGGGTCAAATGTGGGAAGCCTTGTTGGTTGCCATTAGAGATCAGGAAAGAGCTTGGATAAGACCCTTGTGATGATTACTGAGGCTGAAGGAAACTGTGATTATGCTATCTGCTAGGCCAATATGTTTTATTACAGCTTTCATATATTGCCTATTTAGGCAAGGCCACTCTAGTTGAAAACTGGAGATATGGGGTATTGGACTAGACGACTATTTTCATGATTAGTTTCAGTTTTATATTTTAGAGAAAGATTGGGTTGTAACTGGTGCATAGGTCTTTCTCCTCTTTAGGGAGGACTGTGATATTATCCTTTAGTGGGCCATGTAAAAGTTGTTAGTCAAAGAGCTGAACACTTTGGTAAGACGTGGAAGTAGAAGTGGAAGAAGAGATGCTACAAAGATGGAGAGAGAACAGGATCCCTCAGATGGGTGCTTCAAGGCATGCAGTGATGAGTTACAAACTGTGTTGACTAATAAAAAGTGTAAAATTGGGGGGCTACAGGAGACATAAAAAAAATACTATAAGAGAGTCTGGGAGGGGGCAATCTCTGAAGCTAAAATGTTCACTCACCACTCATGATGGGCTAGTAGATGAGTCTGAAAGGACAATGAAGAATCCAAGAGTTCAGTGGGTGAGCTCATGTAGCAGCAGCACAGTTGTATGCGGAGTGGAACTGTGATAAAAAAAAAAGTCCTCAGCTTCATATAGTTTTTGGCCAGTGGCATAACAGTTCAGAGATGCAACAACATTTTTTTGTTAGCATGGTAACCATATGGATATTTTGTTTGTTGAGCTTGCATATTTCAAATAGTCAAAATACATTACCTTGCCATGCTTATATAAGCTTTTAAAGGAGGTTAAGATGTGTTGTGGTGAGTTTTGTCTTGCATCCACCAAGCATATGTCAAATGATGTGACATACCCAAGGAGAAGAGAGGATTGGCCCAGAATGATTGGGTCTCCCCATTCCCTTAACCCTATCTCATTTACCCAAGGAATGAAATAAGAGGGGAGAGATTGGTTAGTGGTTCAGCCTCTATCCTTCCTGGACAGCCATGGAAAGTTGTACACTCCAAAGGGGGGAGCAGAAATATTCCTCAGTAGACACTCAAAGTGGCATCTCTGAGGTTATGTAGAACATTAGTAATCAGACCAAAAATGAGGCATGGCAATATGTATGAATGTGTGGTAGTGCTAGGCCCACATAGCCTTTAGGCCAATATAGGATGTGCCTTGCTGTTCTAGGTCTACTTTGCCCCTTGAATTTGAACTGGAGTATATGGGATTATAGTGCTATTATCTCCTTTATAGCCTTGATTTTGCCTAACCAGGAAATAGGGTAATCTTTACATTAGTGTAGTAAGCCAAAGAGTTGTCTGAAAAAGTGGGGGTAATTGGCCTGATATAAAATGTTTTAGTCTGGGGTGAGGTGTAAACCTAAATCGGGGGGCTTGGAGGTAACTCAGATAACTGCAAAAGTTGTTTTTCAGTTGATTTAGCAGAAGAGGGGAATGGGATATGTAAACTCATTTGATTTGCTTGATCACTGGTGAGTCCCAAGACTGAACCAAATTTTTGAAGCATTGGAAAGAGGTTAGGAGTAAAGAAAATGGCATTAGTTAACAGGACAGTGGCATGGTCTGCAAACATGATTTTGTGTTGATAACTGTCAACCTCCATCTCACCTCTTTTTAAGAATCAGCATTTTAATAGCAAATGCAAATTATAGTTATTTTTGGCAATCCAATACAAGGTTTACTTGAAAAATATCTTTCATGCTGTGAGTGCTGCCTGTCTGCTGGCTATCTCTATCACCAATTTTATAGTATCCCTCCATGCTTTGCAGCTTTTCCTCTGCTCATTCCCCTGGTTTGCTTTCAATTTATAGATACTCCCATGGTACCTTGCTGCTTGCAAGCAGTGATGATGTGGATGTTTCCTGTACTGACAGTGTTTCCTGTAAAAGTATTGGGAAACCCCTCCAAATCATTGGATTCATGTGTTTCAATCACCTCTATGGCCACAGGTGTATAAAATCAAGCACCTAGGCATGCAGACTGCTTCTACAAACATTTGTGAAAAAATGGGTCGCTCTCAGTAGCTCAGCGAATTCAAGCGTGGTACTGTGATAGGTTGCCACCTGTGCAAAAAGTCCTTCTGTGAAAAAGTGGTAGGCTGCATGCTGAAGCACACAGTGCGTAGAAGTCAGCAACTGTCTGCAGAGTCAATAGCTAAAGACCTCCAAACTTTATGTGGCCTTCAGATTAGCACAACAACAGTGTGTAGAGAGCTTCATGGAATGGGTTTCCATGGCCGAGCAGCTGCATCCGAGCCTTACATCACCAAGTGCAATGCAAAATGTCAGATGCTGTGGTGTAGAGCATGCCACCACTGGAGTCTAGAGCAGTGGAGACATGTGCTCTGGAGTGATGAATCACATTTCTTTGTCTGGCAATCTGATGGACGTGTCTTGGTTGCCAGGGGAATGGTACTTACCTGACTGCATTGTGCCAAGTGTAAGGTTTGGTGGAGGGGGGATTATGGAGTGGGGTTTTTTTTCAGGGGTTGGGCTTGGTCCATTAGTTCCAGTGAAGGGAACTCCTAAGGCATCAGCATACCAAGACATTTTGGACAAGTTCATGCTGCCAACTTTGTGGGAACAGTTTGGGGATGGCCCCTTAATGTTCCAACATGACTGTGCACCAGTGCAAAAAGCAAGGTCTATAAAGACATGGATGAGCGAGTTTGAAGTGGAGGAACTTCACTGGCCTGAACAGAGTCCTGACCTCAACCCAACAGAACACCTTTGGGATGAATTAGAGTGGAGACTGTAAGCCAAGCCTTCTCGTCCAACATCAGTGCCTGACCTCACAAATGTGCTTTGGAAGAATGGTCAAACATTCTCATAGACACCCTCCTAAACCTTGTGGACAGCCTTCCCAGAAGAGTTGAAGCTGTTATAGCTGCAGAGGGTGGACCAACTCAATATTGAACCCTACAGACTAAGACTGGGATGCCATTAAAGTTCAAGTGTGTAAAGGCAGGCATTCCGATACTTTTGGCAATATAGTGTATGTGTCATAGATTTCAAGGAAGTAAATGTGTGGGTGTCTTACATTCCAATGGACTACTGGGTACTAAAGATAGTGATGAACAAACATAGCAAAGTTCTGTTCTCTGGATGTTTGCAGAAAAAAAATCTTCAAACCTCAAACATAGCATCCAAACTTCACTAAAGTCCATGGGAGCTGAGTTTTGTAATTTTTTGGGTTGTTTTTGAAGCAATAAATTTGTAAGCTTTTGGTATAAAAGAGCATGAGTGGCTGGACACTGCCATGAGGGACTTGTACTAATGAAACGTTTTATTTTTGAAAATACAGTGCAATGAGAATTTGGTCTTTTAGGCTCCGTTCACACCAATGCATTTTTTAGTGCTTTTTGCAGAAAAGCACTACAGTCCGTTTAACATGGTTTCCTATGGAACATGTTCACATCTATGCTTTTTTGAGCTGCTGAGTTTTTGGAAAGGGTCAGGGACTTTTTTAAAAGCAAAAAGCAGAGTTTTTGCTACAATAGAGTTCAATGGAGAATCTGCTGAAATGCATCGTAGTGCTGAAATTTTGCAGCGTTTTGCATTTTGCATTTTTATTCTGCCCAGCAAACAAAAACCTCCACTTTAAAAAGAAGAGCTGAACAAAATGCAGCAAAAAAACGTGTGTAGAAAAATGCAAAACGAACTGCGAAAAGCACTTCAAAACGGACAAAAAGCAAACCACATAAACGGAGCTCATTGTGGCTTAAAGGGAAATATAAAAAATACATTCCAAATAACATGGCTCATTGCGCCAGTAGGTCAGCAGAGAATTGTTCATCGTGACAGAAGTTGGATCTGCTTTGTGACCCATTGTGTACTTTTTTTTTAATAAAATACTTTTTCAACTGTGTCTGCCTTTTTATATTTGCTCTGGCTTTTTTTTTATGAATTAGTAACTTGGGGTATTATGTACAGGCTCAGGGGCTTCCAAATTGGATCCGTCACCCCCATCTCTGCAGATCCTCATACCCATCGTGCCATGCATGTGTGGATGAGGCAGCATGCCTGGACATAGGTATGAATTTGTAGGGTGACCCCATGCACATTTTTTTTTGCTTTGTTTTTTTGGCATAGGGTTCCAGTCAAAATCCATATCAGACCTGCATCGAGGAAAAAGACCTGTATTTTGAGGGGAACCCATACCATTTTTTGTTTTGTTTTTTTCCCTGGGGCCTCCTCAAAATCTTCACTGGACACGTATATAAGACAAGGGTCTGGTGTGGATTTTGAGGAGAGACTATACCATTTTTTGTAATGTTTTTGTTTGTTTTCTTCAGAGCATGTGATCTGGTAAGCTGTGGAGTGGGGGCTACATGTTTTCTGCTTCCTCTTTCCTGACCATATAGAAAAGATAATAATAATCATGTCTCATGATGTAAATTCAACATCAATCATATAGTCCAGCAATGTGGTTCTATTGTCAATCACAATGAGCAACAACGTGCCAATCTGCTGGCACAAAAGTGCCCAGTTTCACCCCAAGAACCTCTCCCATTATGTGGTGTGGCCAGAGTGTCCAGAGGGATCTTCCATCCTCAGTGCAGCTGTGTTTCCTTTATACCAATGCAGCTGTCTCACAGACAGAGCAATGGCTAAAGAGTTTTTTTAACTGGGTGGGGGAAGACTTGTTCCCAATCAGATAAGCTTCCCTTGCAATTGAAAGCAGGCAGTAACTATATTCCATAGCAAATAGACTGCTGACTATGGAATAAGCCTGCTGCCTGTTTTCAATTGCAGTGAGAAGCCCTGATGGGTCTCTGCCCACTGTCAGCATCACTGTTAGGAAATTGTGGGATGGCCTGTCTCTGTACACCAACTTAGAGTTGGTCTTAATTACTTATAGTTTTGTTATCTATAAACTGGAGGTAATTCTTTTAAAATTTTGTGCAGCCAAAGTGGCTCAAACTACCTGGATCTGTTGAATGTTTTGGTAAACCTACCAGAACTGGGAGTAAGGCCTTTTTTAAATCTAACTCAGGGCTGTTTAAGAGCCACACTACCAGGAAAATGGCACAAATAATTTAATGAATTCTCCAAATGCGTTTTAAGGCTCTTTGCCCACTTATCAAAATGCCAAGCTAAAACAGTGTCCTGACCTCCATGGGGTTGTTTAGCATAACAATGAACGCAAACATCTTTCAGCCTTTGTGCCATATTGTTGGAATGCTCTGTGTATTCCTCCTTAGAGGAGAAATTTCCTCTAGTCCTGCTTTGAACTAGTTCCTTTATTCACCAAACTAGACCTGTTGTCTGGTCATTTAGACTACTTTTTACCTAGCTCAGACAAACCAGTTTGATAAAACAGAGGTACCTCTGTCCCTTCACACTCTCCAACTCTCAGATGTCAACCTTTTGCAACCTGGCTGTTTGGGCCACACTGGACTGGACACATGCCCCCAGGCATCAGGCTTCAAGCTGCTTTCATAGCAAATAGGAGCAAAGACATACTCTCATTTGTGGGCAACACATCTGCCTCCAGCTTCACACCTGTTCATTACATTACTACATTGAGTTTAATACAAAGCTTCACACATGAAACATTACAGCAGCTACGAACAGCACACGAGGGTAAGAGGGCCCCTCTTTCGAGCTTACAATCTGGGATGTTCAGGGACCCTTTACCTGCTGAAAAGGGCACTGTCTGTATCTTTACATGACATATCATCAATATGATAGAAACATTATCCATCTCTGATTAATTGTGGTTTTAGTTAGTTTTTAGGATACTCTGAGAACCTCACTTAATAGAGAAGTAGGGGTTTAGTTTTTTCCCCCAATTTTGCCTACCTAGGTGGATGCAGCTTCGGTTCGATTCTGCATCTGTCCCCTGCTGCCTCTAAGGGTGAGAACTCAGCAATCACATGACCGCTGATTGCTAAGTTCTTACAGTCACTCTGAGAAGAGAGTGGTGACTGGCAGAGAGCGGTGACTGGCAGTCACCACTATCTGTACTGCCCCCCCATGTTCACTGGAGCACTGGGCTGTGGAGGGGCTCTAAGCTGTTCACTGAGAGACCAATCAAGGTGCCGCTCCAGACTTCTGGGGTGAATCCCGACCTAAGTTGCTGTGAGCTAAAAAACGGGTCACAAGAGTGTAGAATGAACTGCAATCCTGAGAACCTCAGGAGAAGTACAGGAGAAGTACAGCCAAAAGAGCGTTGGCTGTACTTCTCTTTTAAGTTGTATAACTGGATGAGATAGTATTTGGCAAATCAGATAATAATGTGCTGTATTGCTATATGTCTGTGCAAAACCAAATAAACAATCGTAGTTTAAAATTGATTTATTCTGCATTTTTAGGCTCCTGGTTTTGACACATTTTACTCGTGTTATTTTGATAATAATTTGAGCAAAGTGGTTGACCATGCTGGAACAAATCTGAGCAAAGTAGTCAGGGCAATAGACATTATTTTGTTTGGAATGATATGTGGCGTATAAATGAGTTGGTAGCAAAATGCCTTTCGATCCCAAAATCCATGGCAATCCAAAGCTCTCACCATGCCTGCCTATCTGTGCACAGAGTGGTTTTCAATATCCCATTCTCATGGTTACCAAATCCTCTCTTTAAAGCCTATCTCTGTGGAAAAGAAAATTCCTACCTTGCAGTGAGGCTTTCTCTGCTCTGCAAGGGCTAAATTTTTTGGGGGGGGTTTTTTACGCCTAAGGTACTGGGAATCAGTAATTCTGCTCCCCCGACAGCCAGTGCTCTCCTCTTCTCCTCCTCCACGCTTTGGCGAGGGACTGTCCCTTGGCATCCTCACGTCTGAAATATTATCAGTATGAGTTTTTTTTTTTTTTTAAAAAACACATCTAAATATCAAAAGCAGAAAAGAGTGTGTTTCCATTCACATAGCACATTTTTTTTTTGTTTTGCATTATGCTTTTTACAAAGTTACAGTTAGTCAAGTTGTAAAATCACAAAAGTTTACCAATAAATAAAGAATGTAGAACACTTACATATACACAATCCTATATCCACATGATGCAATAAAGCATGATCCAGTTTGCTCCAGCAAGGGAAAAAAATTGTTCCTGATCTCCCATGAGACAATCAAATATTCCATGGAACAACCAACTCTGGTATTCATACCGATAAATGTTATATACAGATATATTTTCTGCATTTAGGAAAGCATCCAGTTTTTCCTACTCTACTGAGCTGGCCAGAGCTAGTTTTTGAGGGAGTCTGTTCCACATATTCACAGCTCTTACTGTGAAGAACTTCAAGTAAAGGGAACTTTTCTTGTGATACAGTTGTATAGTTGTGTGATATATATATATATATATATATATATATATATATATATATATATATGTGTGTGTGTGTGTGGAAACCGTTCTGGGTCAAGGGTGTTTTATATATTTTCATCTGCCCAGGGAGGTTTAGTTTTCCAGCTGCTGGGACTGTATTGACTCTTTGTGCTAATATGCTGTAATCTTTATACTTACTGTGAAGAAGCCTTTCCTTATGTGGAGGTTAAATCTCTTTTCAACCAGACATAAAGATTGCCTTCTTGCCCTCTGTAATAACCTGAAATATAAATAACTCAACAATGAGTTAAGTATATAGACCACTTGTGTATGATCACTTGGTGATCATATCTCCCTTAATTTCCATTTCTCAAGAGAGAATAGATTCAGTTCCTCTAATCTTTCCTCCCAGCTGAGCTCCTCCATGCCTCTTATCAGTTTGGTTGCCCTTCTCTGCACTTTCTCCAGTTCCTCAATATCCTTTTTGTGAACTTGTGCTCAAAACTGAACTGCATATTCTAGATGAGGTATTTACTAATGATTTATACAGGGGGAAAATATGCTTCTCTCTCTGGAGTCTTTACCTCTTTTAATGCCAGAAATTTTTTTTGCTTGCTTTAGAAACTACAGCTTGGGTTTGTATGTTGTTAATAAGTCTATGATCTACCAAAACACCCAGAACCATTGACTCCCTGGCTATTCACCTCCTAATATGTATGATGCATGGGTGTTTTAAATCCACAAGTGCATAACTTTACTGACCACCTGTATACTGCCCTGCTAATATTTCATTCTCTGCCCTGCTGACCCATTGCACACTGAACTGCTGGCTCCTGTCCGCTGCCCTGCTAATCCATGGTCACTGCTCTTATAACCCAATGTACATTGCCCTACAACCTTCCACCAGCATAAGGTTTGCATTCTAGAATAATATTGAAGAAAGTCGAAAAAGGGGAAATAGACTGTCGTTTTTATTTTCCTCTAATTTTAGTATTTTAAGTATACAGCTGCTTATCATTTCCTTCCAATCAGCGACTGAAGCATTGAAAGAATTGTACATATTTTTATATTTTTTTTTTCAAATATTTAACAAGACTCAACTATTGAAGAATAGAAAAAAGCTTAGTTACAGCAATACATTAAAACACATACAGAGCCAATACATACATTATGTACATGATATTTACATATTTAATTAAGATGTGCCCTGCATGTACACACCTATGTGGTAAGTTGCATGTGCGTTTATGTACAGTAACAAATACTTAAAGCCCAACTGAAGTTGAAGAAATAGGTATGCAGTCAGATTGTACTAACACAGGGGCGGACTGACCATTTGGAAACTCGGGCACTGCCCAAGGGCCCGGGGTCAGTAGGGGGCCCCATGAGATGCCCCTGGTACCTTTTCCATAAGCTTTTTTGAGTTTGGGCAAGGACACAGGGGCCCCATGGTCCCCTATTGCCCGGGGGCCCCATGAGTTGTCAGTCCGCCCCTGTACTAACAAATTCAATTTCTGTCTTAACTACACTTTCCTGGTACGCAAACTTTGCAAGGAGTCTAAATATGGCTGGGTAATATAAAAGACACCGCAATTAGACCTGGCATACTCTGTAGTGTAATAGATTTGATCAGACACACCTCATCTTCTTTTCTGCAATACAGTGTGGGGAAGCCTGTGCTGAAGGATGTCAGCGTATCAGGATATTTTAAAGCAACTCCAAAACAAAAAAAGTAAGACATTATGCTATGTTGGGTTAGAAGCGGATATAAAATTGTGAAAATTTATTTGGACTTTAACAAAGGGATCATGATGTACTAGGCATATTTAAAACATAACCCTTTTCAATAGGCTTCAACCCTTTCTCCCTTAGGCTGTGGGATTATTATTGAGATATTGAAGACAATATATCAAGGACAACTACAATTGAGCTTTACAATCTATTATTTAGAAGTCTATATAGAAGAAAAATTATGGTTAGTTCTCTCTGAACTAGTGTTCTTTGTGACACCTCACTAGTATTGACATATCTTTACCCAATTCTGCAGGATAACCTTTAAGTGTCAAGAGAACATCAGACAAGGTGAAAAATTGTACAACACAAACAAAAATTGCAAATGTGTCTTTGAGATGCCTGCCACTAATACTAATGCCCTAAGTCAGTGTTCTCCAAACTGAGGCTCACAGGACAGATGTGGCCCTTTGCTTGCCTTTATCTGGCCCTCGGGTCACTTTTCCTCCTACTGTTGATTAGGTTGAGGCACCATTCCTTCTATTGACATCAGTAGTGGGGCACAATTCCTCATACTGACACCAACAATGGGGCACTGTTTTCTTCCACTGAGACCAACAATGGAGCACTATTCCTCTTAATGATATAAATGATGGGGCACTATTTCTTCCACTGACACTAATGATGGGGCACTATTTCTCCCACCAATACAATGATGGGGCATTGTCCCTCCTCCTACTAGCCAAATGCAATTTGTACTTTTTTGCTACTACTGTACACCAAGCCTGAGGAATTATTTTCTCTCACTTACGTTAGGGCATTTTCTACTTCCGCTCGTCACAGTCCGGCCCCCCTAAAGTCTGAAGGACAGTAGACCGGCCTTTTGCTTAGAACGTTTGAAGACCCTTGCTCTAAGCAATGGTTTATAAATCTTTATAAAAAACACAACCGTGATACTAAATATTTTCATCCAACTACACCTCTTACTGCTTATGCATGTAACTGAATTTAGTGGAAAATTGTTTGACATGGTGAGGGACACATGAGTGAACAGGAGGGAAGCATCGATGGAAGTGTCTCAATAGCATATCTTCTCAGAAGGAGTATGATCTTAACATTGTATACTATAGTGTAAGGTTTTCCAAATCATTTACATAAAATCTGAAGTTCACATGTACTTTTTCTATACTTAACAAGAAATGAAATAAAAAACAACACTAAATGTAAGTTCTTTACATTAAACAAGTTAATAACCTATCGATAGTCTACAGTATATAAATTTGCATAACTGTAAATTCACATATATGCTCAAGTTTTCAAGTTGAAATATGAATTTTAGAAACTCTAATTCTGTAGAGTTAAATCTTGGAAATCCAGGTAAGGCCCCAGTTCTTCACTTACTTCTTCTGAGCTGGCAGAAGAGGTATCTGAACCTCCCTCCAGGAGAGTCGCAATGCTGTGTTTATGATTCCTTACTGCCAGCTGCAAGGGTGTACAACCACTACTGTCTTCTATATTCTGCTTGGCATTAGCCCGGAGAAGAGTCTTTACAATGGCTGCATTAGCATTTAGCACTGCTACGTGTAACGGAGTCCAACCAAAAACTTGTTTTGAGCATCCACATTAGCTTTCTTCTCAATGAGTTTGATCACATTGCCAAATGAACTTCGTTGCACTGCAAGGTGCAGTGGTGTCCAGCCAGACATTTCTGCAACATTTGGGTCAGCTCCGAAATTCAAGAGAAGAGAAATGATGGAGTCTTCACTGTAGCGTACAGCCAGGTGGAGTGGTGTCCATTTCATATTTCCCTCAGCATCTAAGGTAGCATCATTGTCCTTAAGTAAATATATTATTTCAGTGTGTCCTTTAAAAATTGCAAGATGCAATGGCGTCCAGCACTGATTATTTTTTATGTTGACCTGAGCACCATGCTTTATGAGGAGCTTGCAGATCATGCTATTGCCTTTTACTGCCGCCATATGTAAAGGGCTATATTGGCTTTGATCAACACAGTTGACATTTGCTCCCTTTTGTATCAAATGCTGTACCACTCGGAAATAGCCTCTGTCAGCAGAAATGTGAAGGGGAGTCCTGAGATTCTTCTGCTTGGCGTCTCGATCAGCTCCTTGGCTAATCAGAAGTTTAACAAGTTTGTAGTGGCCAAAATAGGAAGCTATATGAAGAGCTGTTTTCCCATCTGATTCTTGGCAATTTGGGTTTGCCTGACGGGTGAAAAGGACTCGGGCAACATTTTCAAAACCATTTTGAGAGGCCAGGTGAAGTGCTGTCCAATTATCTCGTTCCGTTGCATCTACGTGAGCTCCATGACCCAACAGCAGACGTGCTATCCGATCATCTCCACTCTGGGCTGAAAAATGCAGAGGTGACCATTTGTCTTCATCAGTTATATTCACATCTGCTCCATTTTCTATTAAGATAGTACATATGTCAGGGAGCTTTTTCTGCACCGCCAAGATGAGCGGTGTATATCCACTCACCGTACGGCTATTAACATTAGCATTCAGGCTGAGGAAATGGTTTACTTTCTCAAGGTTTCCCTGAGCTACTGCAAAGTGTAGAAGTGTGAAGTTGTTTTCATCTACCCAGGACATGTTATCACTGTTGTTTTGTAAAATTTCATGAATTAAGATCTCTGTTAGGAAAAAAGAAATCAGTTTTAGAAAGGCTATTGAACTTTTCTCTGTATACCTATTTTCATTAAAAGAAACATTTTGATGAGCAGGGAGAAGATTTAATTATGTGAACATTAATTTGAAAGTAAAGTGTATTTTCAGTGAGCACATATTTTGAATTTCAGTGTTTACTTAAATACATTTTTGATATTCATTCCCGGCAATGGGGGAGTATATCACCTTCTGCTCTTGAACTTACAATGTAGTATTTGGTGACTGAGCTGCCTATCTCCAGCCCTGCGCACTGTCATGCAAGGTCAGGTGGAGGCCCATTTCTCTAAAATTGAGCTTACACAGGACTTTCTGCTCATGGCCCTGCCAGGTAAACAGGTCAGCCAAGAAGTTCATAAAATGGTAAGCATCAATAGCAGAAGAACTAGGATATCAAGAGAACCTTTCAGTTTGCTATTAATGGCCAAATTTGCAGGTCTGCTTTAAAGTGCTTGTAAACCCTTACATATACCCAGTGAAGTGAATGGACTCAGGTGACAAGCAGAGATGAAACAAATCCTCCTACATATGTTGTACCTGACTATCTGCAATCTTCTCTATTCTATATCCATTCAAAATGTTGAATTTATAAATCTTGTCTAAAAATTTAGAAAAGGGGGAGAGCTGAAATTACACACTATAGAGCTCTGAGATGCAAATGTTGACTTAGGGCCCCCCACTACTACTTCCCGCTTCCACTGCACGCTTGCACCATCATTATGAGTAGGTGTCACTGGAATCTCAGAGGCTCTGGAACAGGCT